GAAAAGAAATCGGTACAAGGTCACACAAAAAATCTTATGATCTCTCCCCTGCCTTAGAGAGATCCTATTCTCTAGGATGCTCACTATTACAGGGCAAGCAAAGACTTTAAGATCTCCTGCGGAACTGGATGCAAACGAATATTTTAAAGCCAGTTTCCATCCAGCCGGACTGGTTCAACGGCAGATTTTTGCCTATTCATGGACTGGTTCGACAGCAGAAAGCGCCACTCCCTCCGGGGTCTGCTATGTAAACCTCACAGCTTTTGTCCTGTGCATGAAGTGCTCTCGTAAGGAGCAAAGGTGGGCAGCCGCTGAAGGGATTTGGGAACCAGTTCTCATCGCACACCCACTGTAGCAATCCTTCGCTTGGCTCCGAGTCAGCAACGGGCCTGGTGGAGAAGGAAGCAATGGCTTCTGCAAAATAACGTCTCCATCTCGAGAATCACACGGACCTCGTCAGAGATGGGCGTTTGTTTCCAAATGAACGAAAATCCCTTCCGCCCCCGAACCAGACCAGCTCTGTATGTTTCATTCGCTTGGATAACGAAACCGAACGAGAAAACCGAACTCCTTGAACTTTCCAGACTGAGGACCTGCTTCTAACCTTCGGGGAGCTGCAAGAGACTCAAATGTGTCACAGGAAGAGGAGGAGCCAGTCATGACCTCAGCAGAGGAGAGGGGGATCCCCACACAGCAAGAGTGTTCCCTCTAAGCTGAGTTAGTGTGAGCTTGCTCACAATTTTGTAGCCTCCGGCTCACATGTTTTTGTCTTGGCTCAGGAAGGAGGGCTCCAGAGCAAACTAATTTATGCAGCAGCCAGATCGCTTGCTCACAACTTTAATGCCAGCCGCTTGCAAAGTAGAATTTTCGCTCACAAGACCCCACAGCTTAGAGGATGCACGGCAAGCATGCCCAGTGTCACAGGACGCAACACCATCTTTATGCCAAATTTTGCCTTGGCCCTGATCAAGATTAATTTTATTTTTTTTTAGGTCAAAAGACTTTTTATTTTCAATTATCATCACATTTTACATCTTTTTATCAATTGGTTCAATATTCCCTTTTCCCTCCCTCCCCGAAAGGCTTCCCGCAATGCACTTCCCTCATGTCCCACATAGATAAACTCAGGATAACAACAAGTACTTAATATTGTTCTAAACATAGTAAATTTTGTCTCACGTCCCAGTTCTTTTCTAAATATATCTTAAAGTCCTTCCATTCTTCAAAAAATTCTTGGTCCTCTTTATTGTTCAGTTTTTTGGTTATTTTGTCCATCTCAGCCATGAACAGAACTTTTTGTATCCATTCTTCCAGATCTGGTATTTTTTCTTGCTTCCAGTATTGAGCATATATCATTCTTGCTGTTGTTATCAAATACCAGAACAGTGTCTTTTTTGTTACATTCAGTTCTTCCATTTTTAAACCTAAGAGCAGAATTTCGGGCGATTTTAAAAGAACATTTTAGAATCTTTTGCATTTCGTTGTGGACTTTTGTCCAAAAGTCCCTAGCTTTATCACATGTCCACCACATGTGATAAAATGAGCCCTCATGTTTTTTACACTTCCAACATTTGCTAGACATATTCTGGTTCATATTAGCTATTTTCTTAGGTGTCATGTACCATCTATACATCATTTTGTAACAATTTTCTTTTACATTAGTACATACAGATAGTTTCATAGAATTTTTCCACAAATATTCCCATGTTTCTATAGTTATCTCCTTGTTCATATTGACTGCCCATTTTATCATTTGCTCTTTTACAGATTCATCCTCCGTAAACCATTTCAACAATATTTTATACATATTAGAAACCATTTTCCTCCCCCCACTTTCCCAAACAGTTTCTACTTCATTTCTATCTTCTCTAAAACCATAGTTCTTCTTGTCCATTTTAAAAACATCATAAATCTGCATATATTTTAACCATTCATAGTTATATTGAATTTCATCCTGCCCTTTCATTACCCATTCTGTTCCTTGCTTCATAATTAAATCTCTATAAGGCAACCACTCCTTGCCTTGCTGTCTTGAATATGGTGTCAAAACCTCTGTTGGTACAATCCATAATGGCCTTGCATCTCGAAAATAGATCAAGATTAATTTTAAAACCAGTTGCTATGATTCTCATTGTGGATATAAGGCAGATAGTGGCCTCAGGAACAAAAAATGCAGTCTTTGAGTATAACTTCCTCAATTTCCCCACATGTATTCAAAATATTCAACACAACAGTTCCAGTTCCTTCCACAGCTAATTCTTGACCATTAACTTGTTGTAAACTAGGCTTTTTCTCTCTATCCAAGTCAACAAACCATTCAACAGAGTTTGCAATATGGGCATGACTCCGTGAGTCCAACATCCATTGAGGTTTAGCATCAGATTTTCCCTTTAACAGACAATGCATGAACATTACCACTCTGGTTTGCATTTGCAGCATCTGGCTGTGTTTCATTAAGAAAGAATACAGGCCTTTTTGCATTCTGTTTGCCGCCAGCATTTGGTCTTCCACTGCCACGGACTGTGGCCAGATCAGACTGGGGAAAGTGAGAAAGGAGAGTCTTTGCAGGTCGAAGGGTCTAATACGAAATCTTCACCTCCACTGAATTATTGTTCCTGCTGCTCCTTTCTGTGTGCACGCAAAGAGTCAGGAGGTGCAGCAACCGCTACTCTCTACGCATGCACATGAGCAGCAGGTACATTCACAAGGCCGCTCCCCCCCCCAAATAGAGGTATCTTTGTGAACCTGCGGGGCACATCTGGAATTCTGACAGTATGGTGGCCGCGACCAAAAAAGGGCTGCCGTGGCTTACCCCTTTAGTCACTCGGTGAAGATCCTTGAGTTGTGGTGGCAGCTGCTGCCAAAGTGACATTTTCAAAAATCGGCACACCCCACCAAACTTTCCGTCGGCAATCCGGAGCTTTGCTGGACAAATGCCCTACCTGGCCCTGCTCACTTCCTAAGGACACTTGGTGGGGATCAGGAAATGTACCACGATGCCCACGGGCATCCTGTTGGGGACTTCTGATCTATAAGGAATTATAGAATTGGAAGGGGTCCTACCGGCTATCTAGTCCAACCCCGTGCTCAGTGCAGGATCAGCCTACAGTATCCCTAAAAGTGTTTGTCCAGATGCAGCTCGAAGACGGCCAGTGAGGGGGAGCTCACCACCTCCCCAGGCAGCTGATTTCACTGTTGCACAACTCTGACTGTCAAAAAGTTCCCCCTAATATCCAGCCAGTACCTTCCCGTCCTTAATTTAAACCCATTCTTGCGAGTCCTATCTTCTGCTGCCAACAGGGACAGTTCCCTCCCTGCCCTCCTCTAAGGGACAGCCCTTCAAATACTTCAAGCCATCCTGTCCCCCCCCTCCACCTCCTCTTCTTCAGACTGGACCTTCCCAAGTCCCTCAGCCTTTCCTCGTAGGGCTTGGTCTCCAGGCCCCTGATCATCCTCGTTGCTCTCCTCTGCACCCGCTCCATTCCATCCACATCCTTTTCGAAGGGAGGCCTCCAGAACTGCACACAAGACTCCAGGGGCGGCCTGACCAATGCAGTGTACAGCGGGACTATCACATCTTGTGATCTGGATGTTGGACTTCCAAGCTGGCAGGAACGTGGATATCTGTGACCCACTTGAGGGAACCAACCCACAAACTGAAGATTACTGGCTTGGAGGATTCAAGGTAGTCAGAGGGAATGTGAGAGAACCTCTGTCTCAGGAGGTAGCAGAGACTTATAATAATACCACCACGGACAAAGCAAGAACGCATGCGCAGCCATTATATGAAGAGGTAGAAGTTTATTGGAATATAAACATTCAGATAACATGTAAGATAGAAAAAAAAATCCAACAACAACATATACAGACGACTTGCTGGAAGGAGACATCTGAGGTATTTAATTCACCATCTAGGCTATCACATTTTAGTTTATTTTCCTTTAAATAGTCAACGATAAACTAGTCGCAAGGCGGTGGGGCGGCTGCTGACCGGGTGGCAGCTTCTCCTTGGAACCCGCCTGGAAGTAGCTGAGGAGAGGGCTCCGTTATCCAAACCTGGTTCGTTGGGGAGGGCCCTGAGCGTGCGCTGGGCGAGAACGCTCCCTCCCTCCCTCCTGCCCTCCCTCCCTCCCTGACGGCCGAAGGAGCCGTGTCTTTAATCCTTCTGGTACAGTCAGAGAGCGTTGGGGGGGGGGACGACACACCTTTGCTGGACTCAAAACAGAAGCCCAGTTTGACGGCACAGACTTGGTGGCGTGCGGAAGGTCTGAGCATCGAGTCGTCAGAACCGCCGGCTAAAAAAGGCCTTGGGTAGAGCGGCCTGCAAAAAGCCTACCGCCCGAGACCTCAGAGAGCCTCCGAGGGTCAAACACTGGGCCAAACGGTCCGACTCGCTACCAAAAGCAGCTCCAGGTACATTCGTCAGCCTTTTGGGCGGCTCTGGATCTAGAGACCAGCGCCTGCCTGGAACCGAGGGTTTCGGTTTGCGCCGCTCTTGCAAGCTGGGGCTTTGGTCTGGTGCCCGGAGAGAGGTGTGGGGGAGGGGAGGGAGGGCCCCCCACCAAAGGAAACCCGGGATGCAAGAAGAAACAGCCCTTGCTCTCCTATCAAAAGCCCTGAGTTACCATAAAACCTTTAAAGGTCGACAGTCGGGATAGGTCTTGTGAAGCCCCCCCACCCAGCCACCTTTCTGCCGCTGGTTCCGAGCTTGTTCCCATGCCCCCCCCCCCTCCCCAAGGCCTGGTCACAGCAGCAGAAGCGGCTTTAAAACAAACAGAAAAACCCCAAATGCAGTCAAAATGATCAGCATCGAAACGGGGGGTAGAGAAAAGGGGTGTGGTTTTCACAGTTTAAAACAGCTGACCCCCCCAGAAACAAAGGGCCCGGAGTGTCAATGCAGCTTATTTCAAATGAGGTATATATGGTTACAAATCCCAAAAGGGTCTACCCTTTTCCCCCTGAACTGGATTTGGACAATCTTTGTTATCCTTGCCTGGTACCCGGATAGCCGTGAAGCTCAGAGGCACGAACATTCTCGAGGGGTGGAAGCGTTTCGCTGGGATCCAAGCGGCTTTCTGTGCAAGAAGATGCAATGTTCGTCTGACGAAAACAGGGTTACGGTTAGATGTGAAGGCTGAAGGGGCCGTTTTCAAACCCTGGCTCTGCCCCCCAAATCGCGTCTAAAAGCAAGGTCGGCTGCAGCTTGATTTTTAGGGGCAAAGGTTGATGAAGGTGACAAAATCTTCCCCCCTCTCCCAAATCTCTCTCTTCCTCAGGGGAGCTTTTGTTGAGCTGGGAGATCAAAAGCAAGTTGGGCAGGGGGGAAAGGAAGCAGGAAGCGTGGCGAGGGTTTGGCCCCCCTATGGCCACAACCTGGGCCTATGGATCTCTGCCCCCTGCTTGATATACAGCTGGGGTGTACCCAGAACTAATTAATATTCACATTTGACCAACACAAATCCAACCAACTCCCAGAACTTTTCTTTGACCCCAGAACTTGCCATATATGTATGTATGTGTGTGTGTGTGTGTGTGATATACACACACACACACACACACACATACACATACATATATATATATACATACACACATATAAAATTTGGGGAAAGCAAATTTCAACTCCCCCCCCAATAAAACTCCTCCCTGAACAGAAGTTTATAACCTTGCATTAGAAAAAGGGTGGGGGGAATTACAAGTTCTGAAAGTGGGGCCCACCAACCTGTATAACTAAGAAATGAAGTCAGGTCTGCACAAGTGAAGTCATTTTGTAGAATACTCACTTAATCTGTTCGGTTGCCGAATTTTCGCTTTTTTTTTAAAAAAAGTTTATGTTCCATTTTGTCTAGGCACCGGGGAAGGAAAATGGGTTTTGTCAAAGGTTGGGGCATGGAAGTCTAGAAAGGCCGGGAAGTGTGTTTGATCCAAAAGCCACACTGCACCGTGTTCAAGTTTTGCGTTGCCCATCGCAATGAGAACTAGAAACATGCTCTTAAACAAGCAGACACTGTCCCTATTCCACATGAACAGCTGCTAGGAGGAACATTCACCAAGCTGGGACACCACGGCCTCTCTTGCTTGAATGCTGCCATTATTACAAATAAGAGAAATCCCCAGGGTGCGCAGGAAGGGAAACTCAACAAGGTAGAGACAATGAAACGTCCCAGAGAAACGAGGGGGCCCAGCCACTAGATTACAGTGCAGATTCTGCTCAAAGGAGAGAAGGCCAAAGTCAACAGGAGATCGAACCCTAAGCCACCTGCCTAATTTCACTGCCCACATGCACACAAATAGCTAGTTGGATTGAGACTAGCTGTTTTAGCAGATTCACACACCCCCGCCCCCCGGGCCTGCTACCATATCGGACCTGCCATGTCGCGGCTAATTTTTAATGGACAAAAACCACTGAAGGTCGTCCTTGGAATTCGGTGTCCAACTTTGCCTCCCCAGTCCAGCCTTTTCTATCCTTCTATTTTCACGAGGGATGGACCGCCGCACTCTTGAGGAAATGATAGACTGAGCAGAATTGCTGGCAGCGGGTACCCGTGTCCGAGGGCTCACAGAACGACGGCTCTGTTCTCCAGATGGAGGCTGAGAACTATTTTGCTGTGCAGCCCCTTTTTCTTCCCGGGGTGGCTTCGGCGCAGCGACACCCGTTTAAGTTTGCCCTCAGACCCCGGCCGGAGAAGAAAAGCACCCTGCTGCGCCTCGAGCGGCCTGCCCGCTAGCAGAAGCGCCAGCCGCGTCCGTGCTGATGTTGGGGTACCACTGGAAATGCTCAGCTCTGGAGAACTGGTCTCAAAAGTCATCCTACAGCCAGCGGAACTCCCAACGCCGCAACCTAATTCCCATTTTTAAAGAAGGCCGCACTGCAAACTGAGCAGGCGGCAGACAAATCAAGGGGAGCTTTCTCTGGCTAAGGGGCGTCCAACTGAATAATCTTTCCCACAAGAGTTTCTTCCAAAAGTCACATGCCACCAAGGAGAGATTTCGGACACGTTTCTACGGAGGAGCATGTCTGGAAGATGCAGGAACCGGGAGTCCACCTGAGATTTTCTTCCTTGACGTGACCATGGCGGCCTTTCAGTTCCAAGGCAATTTCTCCTTCGTAGCCGTATTTAAGGGGGGGGGGGATCGGCAAGGATTTGTCCAAATGTGAGGGTTTCACCCCTCTGCTCGGGGAAGCAGCAACAGAACAGCAGCTTAACAGACGAAAGAAGTGCCAAGGGTTGGAATTTCCACAGCTGGGTTCCTGCTTTCCCTTTGGAAAACAACCGCTGCTAACAACGCAGCCTGTATAGGGGGGACAGGCATGATTGGGCCCGGCTTCCTTTGAACCAAGGACTCTAATAGTTCCCGTTCGAGTCTGTATCTACCGTGCATATTGAGGCTCAGACCTGGCAAGTTCAGGAGCGCTGCAGGCAGGCCTAGGTCCTCTATTGTTATTGCCCCTGTAAGCCTCGCAGGGCTCAACTTCTGGAATACCGAGGAAAGAGCGGATGCAAACTGGTGCATGGGGATCGGAACGGTTTAACGGGGGGTGGGGGTATTCCTAAAACCCTGAACCCTTAACACTTAAACCCCTTTTTAAAAATCAAGCGTGAGACGAGATGGCCTGAGAGATCCACTGGCGACCATCGCCCCGAGAGGCCCCTTGCCTGAGATGCCACCAGCCAAGTGCTTCCAGGTTGAATTAGAGACCTTGAAAAGCTAACTGAACCTTCCCCACTCGGGGGTTCCATTTTTTGGGGGGGGGGGACTGGGTAGGGGATGGGTGTGTCTTTGGTGCTACGATATATAAAATTAAAAAATAAAATAAAAGCAGTCAACGAGACATATAAAAAGAAGTTTTAACATACGCAAATCCTTCCAGAACAGAGAGAGAGAAGGCGCGGGGGGGGGGGGGG